AAAAATGCTACAAAATACAAATTGTAAAATAGTAATGATACCTTAAAGCCAAGATCTCTTAACTGATCCATAGCATATTTTAATGGTGATGAATCAGGTTGTAAAATTTCAACCTGAAATTTCATATGATTAAAATAACAATAAATAAATAAATAATAGTGATATTATATAACTTCTCACTTCTAATTTCACTCGTTCTTCCTTGTATGGACCCAACATACAATATTGATCACCTAATTCTTCAGTTGTTATCGGTGCTTTTGTTCGCAATACCGTATATATTCCACCAACTGTAAAATTAATTAATATTGCAAATAATTCCAATAAATTATAAAAATTACTCATTTTTGAATAAAAATTTTAATATTTTCTTGAAATTCAATTTAAACAAATATACATTAGCAATTAATGAATTAACCTTTATTAGCCACTTCCCAAGAGCATTCAAAAACAAAACGACCTTCTCGACGTGCTTGCTCGCCATGATCCATTTCAAAAACCGTAGCATTTTCTAAGTTCTACAAATAAAAAATTTCACAATTATTCGTTTAACTATTTTTTTTCGCAATTAATTAATTCATTAATCAATTAAAGGCATCAACATGAGCTTGCATGCCTAATTTTGAAATGAAAATTCAAAAAAAAAAACACACACACACACACACATATATAATATTACCCATTTTTTCTCTCATTTCAAAATTACTTATTCTCTGTTATTGATTAATTTGAAAGACGTGGAATAAAATTTTTAAAATCATTAAAATTAGTTTTTGAAGTAATTGAATTACCATTACCGAAAGCTCCTTGACAATTTTCGTATGCGTAAGTCTTCGTGACAAACGTTTCTGCGGTGTTGTTGACTCCGACATCTCGATAAATTTTTGGAAACAAATAAAACTAATTTAATAAATAAATTTTACAAATGAAAGAAGAGAAACGAAATTGTTTCACAGTCGATAACAATAAATCTTACTATCTCAATACCACAAGGTTAAATTATTTTCGACCTATTTTTGATCTTTGATCTAATCGCTGTGTTTCATCATTCCAATCTTTCTCTTACACTGTTTTTTTTTTCATTTTTTCTTTCACTACTCTTCTTTTGTTAATTAATTAATTAATTTTTAAAAGCGATACTAGCATTTTAATTTTTACTATAAATTTCAAGTGAATATTATCTCCGGTTTATAAGAAATAATTTAATGGAGGAAAAATAAAACGAATACAACGGGAACAATACAAAAATCGATTTTTAAACGTTAAAAATAGCGATCATCGCACTAAAGCATTCATTCATCAAAAGCTTTTCCATTTTTCTTTCGCTGTTTTGATATTTATGATAGTTACTGAAATATTTAGCTAAATGCTAACAAAAAAAAAGAGAGAAGCACAGATATTTTCTCTTCAACCCTATTCATTTCCACTTTTTTTATTTAATATTACTTCAAAAAATGGGCAATTTTTACACTTCTGAATTAATAGCATTTCTTCCTATAATTTCAATTTTTTTCACTTTGCTTTTTCTTCGTGATCATTTTATAAAATGATTGAAATTAATCAAATAAAATAAATGTTAGATAAATAAAACAAACAATTAAAATTGAGTATGTGTATCGTGGTAAATAAATATCGTTTCAAATGAAAGTGGGAAAGGGTTAACGTTAAGGTTGAAGCTTGTGAAACTGGTTTATTTCAATATTTTAAAATATTATTTACCTTATCGATACTATATGAGTCGAAATATTTCACGTAATACGTGAAAGTTAGAGTAGTATAAATAAAAATTAGTTAAATAAGGTAAAAAAGAAAAGAAAAAAGTATAACATTCATTGAAGAAAAAAAAAATGTGGAAATTATTGAATTCATATAAATTCAATGTACTTTTTCTCTTCCTAATTTAACTTTTTCGTTTAAAATTAATTTATGCTAAAATACAAAAACAAAAAAGAAAAAAAATTACGTTAAAAGTAATTAAACTAAACTAAACCGAACTTCATGGAAAAGAAGAAATACATTTCTAATACAAAGAAACAGTGTAATTAGTTTGACTAGCGTTATTCATTAATCACGATTTATGAAAATATCACATCAATCGCTGATAGCACATGATTCCATGAACAGCATGACGAAAAGTTGTAATGAAATTAAAGAGCATTTTCATTTTGCTCCTTACATACTTTATGATATTTTTTAAATTTCACAAGCTATTGCTTTTTTTTTTCACCGAAAATACCTGAAATGACTATAATTAATAGTAGTTGTAAAAAAACAAAAAGCAAAAAGGGAAATTTATTGATCGTTAAATTATGATTTTTCTAGAAAGTTCTTAAGATACTGTGAAATCATTTTATCATAATTAATTTTTGATATGAAGATTTTTTTAATAAGATCTATGTTATGAGATGAAAATTACAATAAAATATTTCTTTACCTCTCCTAACTCTCTTAGTATAAACTAATTGAATTATCAATTAATGAATTCTTATTATGTCATAATGAAATGATGAATAATATGGCGTTAAAATTTATGAAATTTTATAATTTGAAAATGGAATTGTTACATGAAAAGCGGGAAAAAGCGTTAATTCTCGCGAGCATAATTTCAGTACTTTTCTATGGTAGTACGAGTTTTTTCAAAATTTGTACTTCATTTTTAATAAATATTCAGCAATATGAGTAGCTTTTCCAAACTAAAATAATAAACTATAAACATTTTTTTTGAGTATTTAATTATTTAAGTTCCTTTCTTGAATTGATTGACATGCATGAAGTACAATACAATACAAATCCATTCTCCGGGAACAATTGAAAGAATGATGTAAGCAGTTATTGATCAATACATAACTCGAAGTTAAATTTTTATTATTTTAACACTATTTTTTTTAGCAAAAAAAGAGAAGATAGAAAGAAGTTATCGAGGAGTAAAATTTCTTCCACTTTCTCTCCACTCTTCACTTTTCGTCATTCTCTTTATCTTCCTTCTCTCAAACTAAGAACTCCCATATATTTTTGGTGAATGATATGAGATATAAATCGAAAATGAACAAAAATATGGATTACGCAGCTGTTTGAGCAATATCACATCATGCGATGAAAAAAGAAACCAAAAAGAAAACAAAAACAAAAAGGATTTGAAATTAAACTTCTAAAAATTTGATCATTGATTTAAATTTGAAAGGAAGCATTCAATTTCAATTTAAATCCATCATTATGAAAATTAAATTGCATCACTCAATTGATTTTTTTTTTCATTTTTTTTATCATTTATTCAATTTAACTAAAATATAATAGCAATTTTCAATTTTCACATCACAATATGAAATGAAATATACAAATAGAAGGTCATGGAATATTTAGCTCAAATTATACTATGATAAAAATTCATTATCAATAATAATTATTCAAATTAAATAAATGATAAAAAAAAAAAAACTTAATGATTAATCTAACAAGGTTTTCACTAGGAACCTACAATCAATGTTAATTGCTATTTCACTTAGAATTTAATAGATCTTAACGATCTTATATTCAATCTTGTTTAGTGTGCAGCTGTTCGTTTTAATCGATAGCCATGCTCATATGCTGGATGAGATGAGTTAAACAATTCAAACATTTCCAGTGATGATTTAGCTTAAAGTTAAACAATCTTTGTTGTAAGACTTTTTTTTTCTTATTTTTATTCTTCTTTCAAGTTTTTTTTTTTTTTCAAAGGTAGAAGTTTTTTTTTTTCTTCTTTCCATAAAATTTATTTCACTACAAACTTGAACTTGAACTAGCATTTATTTATTAATAATAATTCTATTTAATATATACAATTTAATTAATTATTTCCGTAACAATAATCGATTATAATACATGGATACTGTAGAATATATCGATATTAGAAAATAATAAAGAAATTTTAAAAAGTAAGACAGGTGAATGAATACGGAAAGATGAGCATGAGTTTGCTTGAGTTTGTCGATTTTTCCTGTGGAATATGGGTTATATTACAAAGTATCACTTTTTTTTTCTTTTTTTTTTCCGCAACAGATTATGCAAGAAAGATTGCCAATTGATGTATGGAATTATTCGTGAAAATATGTGGTTGAAAAAAATTAATTTTAATTTTAATAACATTCCATGAATAAATTGCAGAGATATTTACAAGTGAATGAATTGATAGTATTGATTGGTAAATTGTTGATAAGAAAAAATACTCAATTTAGGAGAAGGTGAAGAGAGATTTTTTTTTTTTTTTTTTTGTTTGAAATACAAGCACAATTTTGATTTGTCATAATTGATATTCAAGGATAATAGTAATAATTTGATAATTTGCATTTAGGTATTTTTGAGGAAATGTAAAAATTTAAGCATTTATAGGTAGCAATTAAATTTCTATGCTTAGAACTGTATAACTTGATAACTTGACTTGAAAAATAAGATTGGAATTGTGCTATCAGGCTGAGAATTGCATCACACTGTTTATTTATTTTGAACTTCCGGAAACAAATCCCGTAAGTTTTTGTTATTATTCACTCTATTACATTATTAGTAAGAAATAGGTAAAATAAGAAATACTACCTTTTTTTTGAAGAAATTTATGAAAAAAATTGAACCGAAAATATAGTAATTATTGGCAATTAAAAAAAAAAAAGTAAAATAAACATATCAGATATCATACCAATCATATTCAATATAATTATCAATTTATGAAACAATCTTGCATTTTAATTTCAAATACTAGCAGCATAATTGTTAAATGCTTTTATGATATGCGCAAAATTAAAAGAAATATGTACAACACAATGAAATTATCCATTTATGGAGACATAATTTTTTTATAAGCAATCTTATCAAGTTCATTACATTTTTTTTATGTTTCACAGGTCAAATACATAGGTCAATCTAAATTTCATAGGTTAAATTCAAGTCAATTAACGAGTTTAGTTTTTATCTTCTTTGATAATAATGAAAAGACAATATATTTGATTGAAAGTTAAATGCATTGCATTGAAAACATGAAAGTTAATTCTTTGTAACCAACAGTAAAAATTAATCTACTTGTATAAATTTAACAAATAGGATCGTAAAATTGTTAAAAACATAGCTGAAAACTTCTATTTCCTTATCAGTAATCTATTTTTTAATTTTCAGATCGATCCATTCTTTGACCTATTGATTATGTGGAAATCACGAACTGATACAATCGAAGCGATCATCTGCATTGATAATGAACGCATAAAATGAAAATAATAATGAATATTATTTGCAAATTCTTTCAGCTAAAGAAGGAATACTAGCAAATTGGAATTTTCATGAATGAAATTTCAGAGCATTTTAAAAGCTCTTGAAATTCACCCTAAAAATCATTTTAACATAGAATTGAAAGGAAAATAAAAAGTAAAGATAGTTTTTCTAGTGATATAAAAATATTCACTAAATTTAAAGTTTAAATTTAAGTTTGAATGAATTCTCAGCAATGAAAAAATAAGGAGAAAAGAGAAACTGGAAGTTAAAGTACTGCATAAAAATCGGAGATAGGATGAAATAAATTCATTCACATTTCACATCAACTTCACAGTGTTATTAAATAATGGAACTGAACTTACATTTTAATAGTTATTGCGAAAATTATACAAATAATATCACCAAAGTTTTAAAATTTCAAATTATATTTGAAATAAAGAAGTGTTTGAGATATTTAATGAGACATGCTGCTATCATCTTTAATACTCAAACAATTTTTAAAATTGGTCATTTAATGCTTTTTAAGAGTTTATATTTTAACATTATTGATTACTTTATTTTTCAACTTTAGTTTTTCTCTATTTTTATTCGAATCATCAATAAAATGATATGATAGTAAAAAATCTAAAAAAAAATAACATCTTGTTCGATTTATAAACAGAAGTTCATTCTAACTGACATATCCTGACATCAATTCATTTAGATTTTGATAGTTATATTGCACCATTCTGTTAAACGATCAATCATAATATCCGTTCATTCCAACTAGCATCATGCAATAAATAAACTATAATCTTTTACAGTAATTTTCTGCTATCTGATAAATCATCAAAATTGAAGTGCTCTGATAATTTTATCAAAAAATGTGTCAAATTATATAGAAAATTTCATCAGAAGAAATAATAAATTAAAGGCGTATAAAATGTAATATTGAATATATGTAAAATTTAAATTATCTCTTAGAAAAGAATCTCGCAACCAATAAAGGATATTTGAAAATTTTTAAAATTTAAATGTTAAAATTTTTTTAGATAAAAAAATGTTCATCTTTGTATTATTCATAGTTAGAAAAGGCTATTTAATAAGTTGAATTAATCGTATTATTTCTAGCATTTAGTAACAATATTTAACATGCAAACGATTGTGAAGCGGACTGTTATCAGATTACTACAAATGAGTAGTGTATTGAGTAAACATTTTCTATCGCGCGCATTATCGTACCTTAGAATACCGAAGTACTGTAATTTTTCATTCCATATCGAAGTACTGTAATTTTTCATTCCATATAAAACTCCTATGAATATCTCAGAATTGTTCGAAAATGGAAATTTCTGAAATTTTTTAAAACACTTGCATCATCCCTATCAAAATTTTACGAATTTTCCCCATTCTCCAATGTGACACAATTATTGTTTGTAATTTAGAAAATTTTTCAAACTTTTTCATTTATACAATTTTTAATTTAGTAAATAATGGGAATAGGTATCTGATCTTATCTATTCTTTCCAGTATTTATCTGTATAAAATTACTAAAATTGATCTCAAAATCTTTCTGATTTATTTATAAATAATGATGCATAAATTAATATAAACTGTATTTTTTCTTTTTTTTTTTTTGAAAATCTGAAATGCTACCTTTTTTGACTCGATCATTCTATGTCTCAGTACTAGTAGTGTGACTCCTCGTTTGTTTTTTTTTTTCGAACATTCGATTGATGGTGCAAAAAAGGAGGAGAGTAATTGTTGTTGTTTACAGAATTGATAGAGATAGAGTGAGTGAAGAAAACAGATGATTTCTACTCTTCACCTTTACCTCTCCATATAAGCCCCACCCATTTATTACTTACGAAAAAAAAAAAGCCAGAATTAAGTTCCTGAATCATTTTGCAATGTTTCTAAATCGAGGTATGTGACGATTATTAAAATGCATCATCCTTGACCCTTGACCCCTATATTTTGTCTCTCTTTCTTCATTATTCTCTATCTGCATCGGATGATGAAATGACCACTTAATTGCTTTCTAACTTTCAAATTATTTTTGAGCATGTTCCCTTATTGATCACCATTATTAATTGCAATATCTCTAATGCAATTCGTCTAATCAATTGAAAAATTATCATAAAAATCATGCTATAATTGAAATGCATTTTCAATCTAATAGGAATTTCAGCTACGATAAAAATTTCACAATTAATACTATTCTGTATATATTCTAGAATAATTGCAAGTATGAATCATCACAGTGCTATGAAATCCTTTGTCAACTGCTGACTGACCATTTCTTCTTTCGTTCGAATTTGTAATTATTCAGTTGCTGAATCGATTCTTGAATACCATGAAAATTCTCGAGCCTTTTACCAAATCAAAATCCAATCTATTCAATACTGCTACAGATGATCTTCCAATTCTTTCCATCATTTCCATAATATCAATATTTTTTGACTGTGTTTTTACCGTAATCCGATGCCGCAAACGTGCTACGAGACCCGCGCTGCAACTGTTTATAGCAACGACACGAATATGCGTTAGTCGAAGGCGAGCGTTACGCGTTGCGTTCGGAGGCAACGGATGAGGGTAGGGGAGGGGGGTGGGGTGGGAAGGTAGCTATGAGATAGTAGAAAAAGGGGAAAATGTGCATTATTCAGCGGAACATTCCCTCAGTGGTACATACGAATTTCCGGACGATACGATCCGGTGAAACAGACTTTCATCAAATCGATTCCCAGCACTGTCTACACGATCGTCAGTTCCCAAACTTGTATATCCTGTACTTCACCTACTTTATAATTTTTCCTTATACTGCTATTACATTTTCCGAAGTCCATACTGCTACCTAACGGAACCGTTTCTTTGACAGTTAAAGGGACGAACTTAACGACGAACAGATAGATAACTGAAATGGTACCATTCAGTAGCGTCAGTTCTGTGGGATTACTGTATCCGTAGTATGTCTGTCGGTTTGTTTTCTATTCCTGAAATGTTTACCGGTAAAATTGATCGATCAAAAAAATGTAATATTAAAAGTAAAATTTTAATAATTTCAGAATGGAAGGACCCACCATAATCTCTTCTTTCAAGTTATTCCCTTTCCTAAGCCAAACTATAATATCATATGCTTGCTTGTGACAGGTATCCCATGTTTCCGTTCACTAATCAGTATTCATGAAATCTATTCAAAGGTTGAAGAATTCTCGATTTCACTTGCCCTTTCTGGAACCAATATATTGTATAACCCATATTTGATTTTTTCTGCGGCAATGTTAGAAAAATGAATTCATCCGCCTCTTCTGCTACGTCAAATGCGCTTCTCCTTTTTTCGCAGAGAAGTATGAGAACTGCTGCAGTGGTTTTTTTTTTTTTTTGGTGGTACTCAGTGTGGCACCAAAAATAATGCCAAAGAAAAGCCGCTCTTCTCAACTAACTTTTACGGACGAGAAATATGGGAGGGTGCGAAAAAATATGACAGGTAGCTGCAATAAAAAAAAAAAGAAAAACTTCAACCTAGAATTAAAATAACGTGTACAAACTGAACTGCATTTATGAAGTAAATTTACATATGAGTTGAATTTAAGGGTTATCAATTGAAATTATACGAATTGAAGCTTATGTATGCAAATTAGACTTACGTATATCGAATTAAACTTATTGGAACGAATTGAACTTATAATTTGTACGAAAGGGATTTTAGTGTTCGATCTGAACTTACATGTATAAGTTGAACTTACTTACTTAAACTTACAGAAGTAATAAAATTGCGGAGAAAGAATGCAGTGGAAGTGAGTATTCTTTTAAAAAAAAAAAACCATCAAATTGCACTTTTTCCCCTTCAAACTTTTCTTAAAAAGGACTATTAAAATATTCCCATGTACGGCTTTCTTGTGAGCAATTTCCCAGAATAGATAGCGTAATCTCTTCTCTCTCATTTATCTCCCTTTCTCTTTCTTTCTCTTCCTCTCTCTTCCTCTCCCTCTCTCTCTCTCTCTTTCCCCTTTCTCTTTGTCGGAATAAACCATATGAGGTAACGGAATGCCATACAGAAATGATCAACCGAAAGAGACCGTGGAATGTGAATGCTATATAAATGATTACCATTCTAGCATAGATGTTACTTGTCAATAGCTAACGAATGATTAAAAGGTTAATCTCTCTTCTGACCTTTCATTGTTGTTTTGAGTGGAAAGATTTCAACAGTAGTTGTAGTTGCAGTAGACGAATTGCTAAATCTAAAAAAGGGAGCAGATTGGGGAAGTGTAAGATGATGAAAATGGAAATGGAACATTACTATTGTAAAATTTTTATTTTATTTTCTTCTTACACTATTAATGTTTAATTAAATTCATTATTTATATATTCCGCTTGATTCCTGTGTTTTTTTTTTTTTTTTACCGAAGTTAGCATCATTCGTGTAGTATACGTCGTTATTGAAATGTTGTCTGGGAATTTGTTTTTTTTTAATGCTGAATTCTTTTTAGCTTATCCTCCAATAATGATGGAGGTATCGTGCTGCAACATGATTATTTATATAATGTGTACAATGATGACTGTTTATACGAAATGCTTGTGATAAAAGAATCCGTGGATACACTGGAGTTTTATTCAAATTTTGATTTTAAATTATTCGTTGCTACTACTGGTTATTCTTCTGTGAGCAGTTATGTCGACAGAGGAAAGCGATGCCAGTTTGATGGGACTCGATTGGGAAACATGGCAACGTGTAACGCAAACACGTGGCCTGACGGCTGCTTCCGGTACAAATTACGATGCTGCTGCTATGCCGTCACAGAGTAAGTTGATTTGATTTCAGTTCTGTAAATTTTATTCTTTCGATTTTATGATTGATTTCGTAGTAGTGAAGGAAGAGGAGACGGGAGGAAGGAGAGGGAGAGGGAAATATTCGAAATTTTATACTAAGATGTGAAACACTGTCAATTATCAGCAATTAAGACAATCCTGCTTGCAAGTGGATTGGCTTTATAAGTTTTGTTTGTTCGGAAGTCTGATATTAATATTGCTTTTATAAGTGGGTATGATCACAGCGTAAAGCTTTAGTGATTTTGGGAGCTGTTTCAAATTATAGAGAATGAGAAAATGCTTTATTGTAGAACCGAATCATACTTTCTTGTTGTTGAGAAGGTTTATCATATAAAGTCAGGCTCTGGCGACGATATATTGCCCACATTGTTTTCTCTCATAATGTTACATCACTTCTATTTTTTGATGTCATACCTTTTTCAGAAGCAATTTGTTACGGTTTTTATCCTAGCATTGAACTCGAATCCATGCTGCTAATCAATTGCAAGGTTAATTTCTTAACTTTACCATTGTAGATATATATTGTGCTTTTTTTCCAATACGTTTTTTTTTCTATTAAAAAATGAAGGTATTTTATAAAGTGAAGTTTGTTTGCAGAAGTGTGGCTTAATTTTGAAGGATGTTGGCTATGGGCATCATATGCGTTCCCAGCATGGTTATCATATAAAGTCAGGCTCTGGCGACGAATGCCAGTCCTTTTTGCTTTCTCCTCCTCGTCATGTCGTTTCCCCGCGTTTGGAAATACCTATTCTTTCGCCACCATATCGCCGATTATCAACACCGATCGCATCACCTAAGTTTGTTTCAGTAATAAAATTAAGCACTGGATATAATTTGTAATTTGTACTGAATATGATATCTAATATTTACGCTTGAAGTAGCTTTTTTTTACACCGTGCCTGAATTTTTTTTTAGCATTTTCCTTTCCACCTCAGAGTAGACATTCGATTCCTTTGCTAGCAATTTCAGGGAGAGCTCAGGTCGAAATGGAAATATTATATCTCAGGCTACCTCAACAAGGTACTCCGTGGAACAGAAAGACGATCTCAAGCTTTCATTGCGAGTATCGAGACATGAAGTAAGTTTTTCAAGTGAATCTGTAATCTGCAATTTGTAATTTGGAACTTTAGCCAAAGCAAAATGTATCATACTCAAACATTCATCTGGGGTTTACGTAACTCTCTCCATAATTGTATGTCGCAATTGCCTGAAGCTCTCCTTTTTATTTATATATATAGATAGATAGACATATGTATTGGCAGGTATCAAGTGAAGCAAGCGGACAAAGTAGTTCAATTTTGCCTAATGGCACCAAAGATGAAGTGCGGATAAGTGCTAAAGTTAATCGGCGATTGAATGGCAAGATGAAAAACAAAAAGGGAAAGAAAAGAAGACGAGATTCATCTGATGAAGACAATTTCTCTTTAGAACATTTCCGGCAGAAAAAGCGGTTGTCTAAAAAAGGTATTTTTATCTTTGTAATTTATTGCGAGAGAACGCATGTAGCTTGATTTCTAATTCATATCTTTTTTAGTGCTAGCTCAAAAAAGTTTTCTAAGGTCGAGAATGCATAATGTCTCCTTAAAGGGCATAGCGCTTGACGCTGAAATGAATTCACTATTTGTCTTTATATTGACTTTTTCAGTACTTTTGAAATTTGTATCATTGATTTAAAAAAGGCTGAAAAGAATTACTGGGATAAAAGGTTGAGAGAATTGTATTTTCAGAGCAAAGCGCTGAGGAAGTTAATAAATCAGCATCGAGTAATATTCTTGTTAGACATGATAATACGGGTGATAATCATATTTGTAATGGTGCTGCAACAACTTCTCAAAGCGTAAAGGCTTCCACTGATATTGATAGAGTTCCAACGGAAGCGTTAACACATTCGCCAGCAGGAACGTTAACACAACCTCCAACGGAAGCGTTAACAGAACCTGCAACGGAAACGTTAACACAACCGGCTTCTGCTGCTTCTACTTTGTTATCAACGGATACAAAAGTGCAGCCGGCAACTGCACTGAAATCGATCGACAATTTAGAAAGATTGCAAAAAGAAAACGAAGAAACATTTGGTGCAAAAGAGCAAGCAGAAGTGATACCACACTGTTCCGAACAGTGGGATGAGACAGGTTTAGATGCAGTTTTGTCTCAGGATGTGGCATTATTCCCAGCTCTCAAGTGAGTCATTCTTAGTCTTAGATTTAACTTAGATGGAAACAAATATGTTTCATGTATATCGTTCTGTGTACAAGATTTAATGTGGCTTTTTCAGAAGAATTATTGACAAGAGAAAGAATAATTTTGTTAATATTATTTCATTTCCAAGAAACAATATTTTTTTATTTTGAAAACTTAGCAAAAGTTTTATATTTCAAGACTTTTCGTCCAGACGTTATTTAGATGTGATATTTAACCACTGTTGATTTTTTACCTTTAAATACCATTATTATCGGTTATTTATCATATTTTAGGTTAGAAAAAAGCGAAACACAACAGAATTGGACGTCGAATACGACATTTTCATTGGAAGATTCGGCTAATGAGAGTTATTTGTGTGAAGATTTCGATCCACAGAGATTTTATGTACCATCACCACCCCTACTCTCTCCGGTAGCAGAGAAAGATTGCTACTTAATCGATCCCTTGACAGCACCTATTGCTTCTCCACAAGAAGATATTTATTATGATCATCATGTGGAAGATCTATTGTTGCAACCTGATGAAAGACTTATTTCTAACGGGTATCAAGAAATGGTCGATTTGTCACGGCCATCACCCATACATCCAAACGAAGATCTGGATTTAAATGATTACAGTCCTGTTCGTCATCGCTCTGTAGTTATAGAAGATGAAGAGGATGCAAATGCAAATCGTGGCAATACTGAAATCCGCTACCCGATTGAGGAAAAGATTGTTGCGACTGGACCGTATGTTTTGTTTCATCTACATATTTTGGAAGTGTGTTCTGAGATCGTTTTCAAAATCCTAATGTATCAGTACTGTAAACTGTTTATATTAGTCTGCGAAACGTTATATTGCTGATGGCATTTACATGGAGTTATTGTTATTGATTTAAGATCTCGACACAGCTGATTTTGTTTCTAGATGTTTATATGGTTATTCACGAGGAGAGGTTTCGGAAGATGCAAGAAATCGGCATTTCTCGCGTAATGAAGAAAGTTATATGGGAAGTGATTTCAGTCATAGAACACATCCTCCAGTGGAGCAAAAAATATGCTTGCATCATCAACAGCCTCGTTGCCCACAACTTGTTTCGGTAAGTTTATTTTTGAACTCTTCCGAATGAGATGAGATTATTTTACCTAGTAAGTTGTGCTATAATGCAATATATTTATGTAATAGAAATCTTGTACAATGCTCGCGTTTCGAAAGCCATTCTAATTCTTGTTATTTTTTCCTATTATTTTGAGGTGCTGGTCTCTCTGGATCAACCAGCAAATCTTCTTTTTTCAGGTTGCTTTCGTGCCACAGAAAAGGAGCAGTCGGACATGTTCATCACCGCTAATGGAAGGATTTTGTGCTGAGTATGTTTATCAAATTGCTGGTTTTGGGATAAAATAAACAATCAAAATTTCTGTTTTACGTTATTCAATGTTTTAGCAATGTGTCATATCGAGACACCTACATGGATCCGGAGCAAAAAATCTATTATCCTAATGCGAGGTTACTGACGGTTCCAATCAACGGAAAAACAACTGTAGATTATCCACCACAAACGAGATCTTCATCTCCCGATATATTTTTATCAGAGCAAAATCATGGGTTCGTTTTCAAAGATTTCATTGTGACTTAATCAGTTTATCTGAAAAACTTTCTTATTTTCTTCGTTAATAGCCATAAGATTTTGATATTCACATCTGGTGCTTGCAGAATGCATGATTTACCGGATGATGTAGAACGATTACCTCAGCTGCCAAGTTTTCACAATAATATAGCAGAGGAGATGCACAGAGAGATTCGTGATCCGGTACAGCTAGAAATTGCTAACCAAGGTAGGCTTATTTCTTCAATCACTTTTTTCATCAAGATATATTGTTCTTATTAAGCCTGACATTTTCCATTCTGCTAACAGTACAATGCAGTGTTATTTGCTTGCAGGGTTACAGCAACATTTTGATCAGATCAATTATAATTTACGGTCTGAACGTAGCCGGCTGTCTTTAGGAAGAAATTCGGCGATAAAAATTAGTAAGGAAGCAGTGTTTGAACATCCTTATGATTATAGTCCAGGGACACCGGCGAACCTTCATGGAACTCGGTATTTTTTTTGAACTTTTTGATGATAAACGGAGGTAGGAAAAGCATTGTTCTTGCATTAATTACGATGATAATACAAGTAGTGGGTATAAAACTCCATATATATAGTTTTTTTCGTTTTTCACGAACAGCTCTTTTTGTAGTTTCGAATATTACTGAAAAAGAAGAACTATTTTTTATAATCAGTTAGTTCCTGTTCAAATACTTAGTAGTGCATAGGTTTTTTCAGGAATTCGAGTTATGTACCTCACATGACGCGAAAGAAAGGATTTTCCCCGCGGGTTTTTCGTACCGTTCGTTCTCATGCGGATACGGTACAGCAGCCTGCTACGTCACAAATAACACCGCATGAAGTTTGCGTACCAATTCATGGCAAGACCGTGATACGTCCGGACTATCGTTATGTGTACATACCATCGAAATCATCGCATTCTGCTGATCTCGATCATATATATAATGTTAGTTTTATTTTAACTTTTTCAAAAAAAATTAAATTCATCATTTATGAAAAAGCATCGAATTTGCTGCTTCGTTGAACCGCTTTCGAAAATTAAGGAAATTCCACAACTAAAGTTTATATATTTTTTCTTTAAACTCGTCCTTTAAATTCATTTGTAATGAATTGAGGAATTGATCTGTTGCAGAGGCAAAGAAAAGATCGTGAAAGAGAGATGAATGAATTCGGCTGTACAGAAGTGCGGCATGCAGAACATCAGTCACGGGTAGAGCCAACAATAAGGCAAATAGCAGTACCAAAGGTTCAGCCAACAGTTTTGAATAGAGTTCGCCCTTTGACTACAACAAATGGTATACATTTTCGCGCTTTATACAAACTAGCTCTGTTTTTTGAGAAAATGAAAAATATCAGTCGTGGGATGAAAAATGCTTATTTTTAAATTTTGATGCTGAAAATGACTTAATTATTTTGTAGTAGGAAGTGCGCGAACTGTGAAGGTACCATTACATCGACGATTTGGTCATCATCATTCTTCATCTGGAACTGAAAAAACTTTAGTTTTTCATCCAGAATTGAAAAATGAAAGAAGCAGTTATCCTGCCACTTCCATCCCAGATGTAGTACGTATTAATTCCAAGGAGCGGATGTATCCAAGTATGTGTGAAATTCAAAATCTTGAATACGAGTGAATAATTCCAATATTAATTACTTTATCATCAAACTAATAGGTAATTAACTGTACTGTTATCAAGGTACAATTGAAAATATGCATGTTGATTTTACGCCGCAGCGCAGCAAGTTTTTATAGAGATAACCGTGAGTATTCCTAAAACTCAGGAAAGATGAAAGCATGATACGTAATTCTTTTCAGCTTACGGCTTGAATTCGTACACTGCTACGGGTAATATACAGCGGGGAGTGAACGTTGCAAGTAGAAATAAGCAGCGTTCAAATTGCACTTCTTCATATCAGATTCAACAGAACACTACTCCACGGCAAACAACACGTAAGACAAAAGTAGCACCACCAGCGGATGATATGGAAGCTCGTTTTGGAGGTTGGTTTTGTTTTTCTTCTTTATTTTTTAAAAATTCATTAACTAATTTTCATTTTTAAACGAGGAGTGATTATAATTAATTGCACTGTTTTCGCCGGCATAAAGTAACAAAGGAAGCTTATTTAAATGGAATAAATTGCATCGGTTCATAAAACCCTTTCTTATTAATGATTTCATAAATGTAGTAACCAGTTTTCTTAATCCTCAAACTTATTAATGAGTGATAGAGCGGGACGGCTTGACAGTCGACATTGTATGCTTGCCCGTTCCTGACATAAGATTACGTCTGCAGTAAATAATCGGTCAGTCTTTCCGTATGACCACTTGTTGTGACAAAAAATTGAACCGGTGTTATTTTGAAAGATTTCTTTCTTTCTGTCTTGCTTTGTTTTTCCATTGCTTTTTAATTGCTAGATAATGTGTTTTTAGGAATTTGCTTGCTGATGCGACATGGCTTTCTCAAATCACCGAAAGACTTTTACTGTCTGTCAAAGTAATGTAATTTGTGTGAAGCTTTTTTCTTTCCCGTCATATATAATACCTCATATTGTGGTAATAGTTTTGCCACGAAATTCCAGCTAATTATATTGGTTCACATTTATTGAATAATGGGACAGTAAGAGATTGTTCATCGTTCGCATTATCAATGGAGAATCGTCCAAATGTACCGCATGGTATCACTGTTCAAATAGCACAGCTACGTGATGCCTCTTTTGCTAGCATCCGTAGTGGTAATCCGCATACAGTTACAGTTGTTCCAGTACCGGTACTAGCAAAATGCTCAAATTCAATCTATTGCAATGACAGTTATCAAGCATCTCTATTTGGGATTGTTTCATCCTCATCAACCAATCCTAATATTATCCCTGTATCATCTTTGACTTCGGAATCACATATTTTTTGATGGATGAAATATTACATGATGGCTATTCTTATTTTCACTGAGAGGATGAAGAATCTATTTCTGGGATAATCAAATTTGTAGTAATCTGTTCATTAGAGAGAGGAAGCAACTATTGAAAGGATCTATCTGTATTTATGTAATCTGATTTATACCATATATTTTGTTTCCAGTTGTTAATATTAGTATTGTAAAGTTTCTGTGAAATGCAGCTGTATCATGATCCTTTTTTTTTTCTCTCACCAATTCGATGAATGATTTATCATGTGATGATTGACTGAATGATATATTTAATACGGGTATGAGCAAGGTGGGACTGTATGCAACATCTGCATGTTTGTTTCAACTTGTATCATAGTTAATATGTCCATTCCTATTGAACATATTCTCTTTCAGTATATATTAAAATCTTAGTCTTGATTTCTCAAATGGGGAATGAAGTGTGTGAGATGTTACGTGATCGTTCTGAAATGAAACCGTTTCATTAATGTGAGATTAAAACCGATGTTTATTCGTGATATATTTTCTTCTTTAATTGAGTTATTAAATATTAAGATAATTTTGAGATCGAAAAAGTTTAAATCGAAATTTTTAATTTCATTGTGAATTAAAATTTTGGTTAATACGGTTTCAATCATTGACTGTTGGAAACAATGACAATGATTTCATTCCCTTTGATCCGCGCATGTAATTTCTCTTTTGTGTATACTGTTTGTTGAGCTTAGGGGTGGGTATCATCATCAGTCATCATTAAGTATTAGTATTATTTTGTTTGTATTTTCCTTTAGATTTCATGTATTTAATTCCATTTGTGCAAGCTTCAACTCGTCAAACGAGATTAGAAGACTCGATATTTTTTGTAGGTCTGCTTTGAACATGATTTAATTTATTAAATGTACATTTTACTTGATTTAAATTATATTGAGTAGGATGTTTAAATGGAATGAAAAATGGATTAAAAGTTTTTGACAATATTAAAGGCATGTCTGATGTTTCTGGGGTTTTTTTCTGTTCCCAAATTTCTCCTCAAGGATTTTTTCGTTTAATAATTTATTTAATAAAAAAAAGCGTTGTTATATTATTGTAATGGGTAATCGATTTCTTTCATTTGTAACATTGTTCTCAGAATTATTTAAATTATTGATATTTTAATGGTTATATAATTTGTATTCTGTATTTGGTGATAGGTTTGCTCATTGTATCTTTGTTCCATTACCATTAAATGAGAAAGTTTAACTTGCGTTTCTTGCATATTATTGCTTTTAAATATGAAATGTGATTTTGCAGGATTCGACTTAAATGGTCGAAGTTGTTTCCGAACTTTCAAGAAAGTTTTCGTCTTTTATTGTATCATTTGTTGTTGAGCGCATATAAAATTTCTTCTAATTTTCGTTTGAAAGCTTTCGCGTATGAATATTATTGTGGTATATTCTTTTTCATTTATCTTAATCATTTTGCCAATGAAACTTTCTTTTTTGAAAGGCAAAGGATGAAGTGCTGAATTTGAACATGGATGTCCTTACGCTACATGCTTCCTGGTCAAGTTTTTATAAATTGCTTTTTGAATAACTAATTACAGATTTTATTGTTATATAGTGTGATATCTAAATTATTTGGTTATTCTGATTGTTTAGTTTCTGATGTGTCTAATCAGGGAATGAATTGAACGGGGCAGTTTGTTAGCTGTGAAATCATAAATTCTATTCTCGAGATTTACGATATCTGGCATAAAGCTAATGCATTACATCCAACATTTTGATGACATTATACTAAATCTTCATACGAAGGATTGATGTTTTTGTCCTTATTTCATTTGGAATTGTTCGGTAATCCAATCCAGAGTTTGTCTCAACGGTATAGGAGCTGAAATTTGTAAAATATAAAGTTATTACAAATCTATTATAATTAAGGCACAAAGATTAATACACTAGCTATATTCGGGATTTAGCGAACTGAGAATTTTTTTTTGTTGAGCTGGTTATCGAATTATAAAGGTTTACAATGTACATTGAAATTTTAGAAATAAGCTCCGAAATTTCAATGTGCATAGTTCTTGTGTAGATGTACGTTTTTTGCTGGAATAGTGTAGTTGTGCAATAGTGCAAGAAGATTCTAAATTTTGGATGTGACCGTAATAGCTGTTTTATTTTTTAACCGATCCTTTCGGAGATCTGATTTAAAAAGCATTCCATAATTTTATAAACGACGCTGTTCGAGAATATTGGTATTATACCGTTTGCATTCATACCATCAGGATCCGGTATTATAATGCAACATGGACTATTTATTGCTTTAGTTTTAGGTACTGTCTAGAAGTTTCCAAGGGTGTGCTTTTTTTGTTCCAGATCAGGATTATATTGAAGTTAGCGGAAATGCCTGGAATTGGGGTATATAGAATTATTATCCGATAAAAAAACGCCATCTACTGTGCAGGTATCATTTTTAATGTAACTAAAGGTGAACTATTCCGAAATTATAGAAAAATAAATATACGGGCAAACAATGGTGAAATGAAGTGAGAAGTAACATCTGAAACAATTAATTCCATTTCATTGGATTCTGTTTATCTAAGATTGGAGAATGGTCGGAAAAAAAAATCATTCCATTTTAGTTGCAAAAAAAAAATTTTTTTTTTTTGCTAAAATTTAAATCACGCGCTTCATTTTTGATAGATGAACTAATTGGAAATGGTAAATGGCGCCGCTATGTCGGAGCAAATGCACTTACGATTCGAGTAGCATACATCTTTACCTTTTGCTTTTTTATTTGCTTTAGTTTTTATTTTTCCTTCTGGTATCGTTATTGAATATGATCCACACTGTACTGATATTTTCTCTTTCCGGCTGCCATAATTTCCTGTTTTATTTTTTACTCTGCAACACATCTTAAAATTCATCTTTTTCTTCTGCTTTTGGTTGTTTATTTGGTTAAAGAACTTTTTCGTATAGATGTTTCAATTGAATATTAATCCTATTAGTGCAAACATCCTCTATTAATATTAATTAATTTCTAAGTGTACTTTGCACAGTTGATAGTTCATTTCGGCGAATATTTTCTTTTAATAACAATATTAAACTTAGTTTTGTTTAAAAAAACAATTTGATTTGTAACTCCTTTATTATTCCTCTTTTCCATAACTTAATACGATAAATATTAAAGAATCAAGAATTTTATGATTCGACAATATTAATTGCGGTCTGTTGATCACTCTGTGATATAAAGGTATCGGTGTATTAGTTATCAGTTCTTATCTAACGTTTCATTGTATGGGATATGGAAGTTTTTTTCTCTGGACGTGCAATTATGATGAAGGCTGTAGCAACTGAAAAGTTGTTCTTGTATAGATTTTTAAAAATTTTACATTTCAAGTTTTGGGGAGTGAAATAAACAACAAATTTTCAGATGAAATTGGTTAAATTATGGATGTTCGAAATGATTGAAATATTCACTGTTGTTTTATTGTTTGGATTTCTCTTTCTGTCTGTGAATGGGAACTTGCATGAATACAGTTGGTTTTATTAAACTTAAATGTCACTATCAATAATAGTTATTGAATTTAGAAATTAAAATTCTGAAAACATGAGATTGTAAATTTTATTATCTGTGGAAGAAAATTCTTTTCAAGTCTCACATACGTAAGCTGCTTTCTACATTATTATTGAATGCTACACGTTTGTAGTGGTTATTAATAATACAAATATATGCAATACAAATGCATTAAGTGAATCGGTTTTCATTTTCAAGGCCATAAGCAAGATCTCGATTCGGCTGAACGATATGACGCAGATGGTGATTTATCGGTGCCAATTGATGCGCAAGGACGACCCTATCATTTTAATTCAAGCAAAGTTGAATCAGAAGCTGATCGGAAAAGAAAAAGTGTATGCTATTTAGATATTAGCATTTAAAAGACACATACTTTATGCATATCTTTGGTCGACTTATTTACTTTTTTTGAGGTTTATAGTCGTATCTTTTGCTTTCTAGCTCTCTTCCTGTAGGAAACATGCGATGAGAAAGGAACTGAATTCATGTTGTTAAAGCAAGAATGATTCTTATCCTAGCTGTAAATCACTATTTTACATTTGATATTAACGCTGAACAACGATTTAATTTATTTGGTCTATTTATTTCATTCGGAACTATTACAAAAAAGTTCTAAATGAGTTGTATGGTTTAATTTTTTTTTTAATTTGAGATGTAGACATAATTTAATGAAATTTTAGGCACCAGCAAGATATGAAGATGAACGAAGCTTTTGTTACTGCAATTATGCCCCAGAATTCTGTGGCGGATTTACGAATTTCACATGTATCAAACATCTGGAAGCTTCCTGCTTCCATTTCACCGAAGAAGTATGTTCCATATCAAATGAATTGTAACTTCTAGTTTCTTTTTTATAAATTCGTATACTGACTCATAAAACTGAAATCCTGCTATTTGACATTTCGATTTTCAGATCTACGATGAGACATTGAAGCAAGTAGAGACAGTGCATTTATTCGGTTGTGCCCCATTAACACGTGGCTCAGGCGGTTCTTATTTTACAGTAAGACAGTTACAGCATAAAAATTTTACTTTTTGTTTTCTTCATTTCTTTGCATGTACTGTTGAAAAGGTTTAGAAATAAAATAGTATTAAATAAATCATATTTATATATCAATTACATCAGCTACATGATAGTGTCTCGAATAAAAAATAGGAATTAAAATAGTATTTTTAATTTCAAGACACTATGAGAATTGAAATATTGAACAAAAAAGCTACTATTAAGAAAAATGGAATACATATCACTTCAGTTATTTGTTGATTATTTGATAATTTGTACATAGTACTTTTAAATAAATATTTTTCAGTGTAAAGCACATTTAGTTGCACATGCTCGACCAAAAAGTATTGCATGCTGTCGGGAAGGAAATTACTGTAATCTTAATTTGTCTGTTCCAGCTTATGCAAATGTTTCACCGGAAGGTATTTGTTAGTTTTGTAAAGAAAATATTTTTATCCTACGACTAAATCAATGAAATGGAAATAAATTAGTTTATCAAAATAGTGAATTAATATGAATAAATGACAATCTTACCATGAACATTGAAGTTGAGCAAAAAAATGTTTTTATGAATGTCCTTTTTTATGTTCAACTTGAATTTGAACACTACGGATTAATAGATTCTAATGAAGATCCATTCTTTATTGGATGTTTTTCTTTTATCCGAAATATAAGAAAAGAGTGCTTTCATATTTACTTATTTTTCAGGAGTAATCGTTGATCGTTATGCATCTTATATGACAGTCACGGTTATTATATTTCTTTCAGTATTCTCTGGGATTGCATTACTTATTTTTTGGCGAGGGAATTTCATAGGTGAAATTTCTTGTAAGCTGTAATGAGCAATTGAATTTGAACATTATGGATTAATAGATCCTAATCAGGATCCATTTTTTTTTTCTTTCATCTGAAATGTAAAAGAAGGATGATTTTATGTGATAGTTTAACTTTTATATTTATGGAGAAATACGTTCTAATCATTAATTTTTAAGATGTTTGCAGTGATAAATTTTATAGCTTTAAAACTGAAGCCATCGCTTCATAGGTCAACACAAGTGATGGATGCAGATGAAATCGAAAAAGCGCCTATGCTATGTGATATTAGGTATTAATACAATGGACGTTTTGTTTACTCGAACATTGCAATATTTTAGTTTGTCACTTTCATTTGGCTACAATTATTCATAACTTTATCTCTTATTTATGTTGCTAATAAAATGTCGTTTCAGTAGCGGTTCAGGTTCAGGTTTTGCGAGCTTAAATCAACGCACTGTTGCGCAGGATCTTCAATTCTTATCTGTAGTAGGTAAAGGACGCTATGGCGAAGTTAAGAAGGCATGCTATCGTGGTGATCGTATTGTTGCTGTTAAGGTGAACTTGCTATTTTTCGATTTGAAATCTTTATTTTGTGGGCAGTATTATTTATCTAATTGTGTTAATTTTTAACATTGTTTTTTTTTAGACATTTTATACTACAGAAGAAGATTCGTGGAAGAATGAAAAAGAGATCTATCAGACACAAATGTTGAATCATGAGAACATATTACGTAAGTATTCTTTAAGTAATTACTATATCTATGAATGAACAACGTTGATTACAGCTTTTAAGAGTTGATTTTGTTTTGTGCAGAATTTGTTGCTGCCGATATTGGAAGCGAGGATTCGATCACTCGAATGCTCTTGATTACGGATTTTCATGCTTATGGTTCTCTTTTTGAATATTTGCAACGTGGAGAAACCCTCTCTGTGAGTGAAGCTCTACATCTGGCTTATAGGTAAGACGCATTTCCATAAACAATTACTCACTGTCGTTGTGAACAAATGGTAAAAACCGGAAGTGGTAGAATATAATATTAATAAGTATTTTGAGAATGAAAATCTTGAAAGATTAACTGCAAGAAGTCAGCCATTAGAAATGATTGTGAAAAATTTCTTACCCAGTTCTTTGTGTTTCAGTGCAGTTTGCGGTTTGGAGCATTTGCATAGTGCTTTACATGGAACAGGCACACCGCAAAAACCGTCTATTGTACATCGTGATGTGAAATCAAAAAATATCATCGTTAAAAGGCCTTATGTTTGTTGCATAGCTGATTTTGGATTAGCATTAACGTAAGTATATATTTTTTAAATTGTAACCTTCATTCGATTTTAGTTGGTTTATTGAGAAAGTTCCTGAAATTAGGAAATAATTAGCCCTCTTCAAGAAAATTCCAAAATGCAAAATATTACATTTTAAGTGAAGATATGGTGAAAACTAGAACAGATATAAATATACAAGTGGGTACCAAACGATATATGGCGCCGGAATTGCTTGACAAATCTTTAAATGTTAAAAATTTTCATCATTTTAAAATGGCTGATATTTATTCATTCGCATTAGTTATTTGGGAAATCCTACGACGAATTCAGGTCAGTTTAAGATCAAATTTTTCTCTTTCATTGTGATCCTTTTTTTTGTTTTAAATGATTTACTTAAATAAAGGAATTTCATTCTTTAGCTAGTGTTTCATTTCGGTAATTATGAAAAACTATAAACAGGTACTTATTTTAATTACTCATGTACTAGAACACAGTTCAGGTTTTACCTGTTATTTATTTCAGCATTTAAAGAGCTGAGTTAAAAATCTTCCTTACTAAATTTTCTGGAGACGATTTTATTGTAAACTTTTGGTTAAAATGTTTAGAGATATCTGTTTTAGTTGTAATACTGGCGATCAATCAAAATATTTTTAAGGACGATTTTTTAGGAAGACAACTGCCTTTCAAGAGCTTCCGAAAGTGACAGCGGGATTGGAAGCAGTGGTAGTGGAAGTGGCACGACGAAACTTATACCTGGGCTTACTGCCAATTCTGATGCACCCAGATATATCACCAATGTTTCGAGCGGTGTAGTGAATAATCAAAGCATTTCCGACAATTCGATGGTCAGTTTAAAATTCATTCTTTTATGTTCGAGTTTTTTTTGTTTGCAGTAAGGAAATTTTTGTTATGCGTAATTTCAATACAACAAGCCATTTGTAGTCATTAAAAGCGCGACCTCCGATGCAACCATTTGATGGTATGGTTGATCCCGATCCATCATTCGAACAAATGCGTAAGCTTGTATGTTTCGAAGGCAAGAGACCATTATTAGAGGATGCTTGGATCAGAGATGTAATTTCTTTTGCAATATTTCTAACAGGCTATTCTTAATGATTTAAAATTTATTCGAATCAATTTCTTTAGTTTAAATTCATGAATTTTTGGCTTTAAAGGTTTCACTTAAAATGTTCTACTTTTAGCCATGTCTGAAAGAAATCTGTGAACTGATGAACGAATGCTGGAGTGCAAGCATTGATTGTCGACATACTGCACTACGTGTTAAAAGGAAAATCAAAGATACGATTTTGGTATGTAAATTTACTACATTTTTGATTTATTTCTTCAAAAAATTTCAAAATTTTGTTCAAGCATTCAGATAACATCGAAAGTTTGTTAGTAGTTGATTTGTTATTGTTGAGGACAATTTTTGAGACTATCTAATTTGATTTTCAGAAGCATAATGGTTTGGGTGGTACACATACTTCTGAATCCAACAAACAAGATTGCTCAACGAAGGCTTTGTCTGTTTAGCATGTGAAGCTGTTTTTTGTTGTTTCTTCTCAAAATTATTTTTCTTGTTATGTTTTATCATTTTTGTTTATTCTTTGTTTTCCTCTGTATTCAATCTGTTACACAAAATAAGTAATGAATATAGGGTTACAATTAATTACGTTGAGTTGCGTATTTTCTACTACTGTTATATAGCTAGATAACAGCAATAGTACGGTTTTGTAAAAAGGTATGTCTACAAAAAAATTAAATTAGTGGATGAACCATCAATGGATTAACAACGATCCCGTGGAAATAAAAAAAAAAAACAAAAACAAAAATACTACATAAGGATGAGCTGAATTAGCTGCTTCATATAATATTTTCTAAATATCCACGAAGCAATCTTCTTCCATCCTACTTCTTTTTTTTTCTTTAAAAGGATATAAAATGATAAAAAATCGAAACATACTGATCAGGGATATATAATGAGGGAAATAAGATTTTAATTATCAATATATGAAAGGAAGATATATATTACTGGAAAAAGAACATCTGTAAAGGTTTAACAAAATAGTATATTAAAGTCTCAACACTTCTTCATTTTGCTCCGCAGTAACATACCAACTTTTTGTGTATTTCGATTTTGCTGATCTCACTAAAAATAGAGAAGTGTTAAGACTTTGATATGCTCTTTTGTTGTCAGTATATTCCCGTTTTTATATTATCTTATATCCTTTTGAAGAAAAAAAAAAAGAAATAGAATGGAAGAAGATTGCTTCGTGAGTGTTTAGAAAGCAATATATGAAGCAGCTAATTCAGTTCATCCTTATGTAATGTCTATATACTTTAGGTTTTTCTATTTTTATAGGATCGTTGTTAATCAATTGAAGTGTTGTCCAGCAGTTCGTTGATTCTTTTTATTGGGCCTTACTTTGAAGTGTATCACATGGTGCATTAAAAAATGTCTTTTTTGTTCTACTGTAAAATGGTTGTTGTTTATTGTTCTGTTAGATTGCTTTCTTCAGTGATAAAAATGTTTGAATTCAAATTTTCTTGCGCATTAATTTAATCTAAATTTTGAAAATATCAGTGAGTGAGTATGGATTTAATGGAATCACGAAAATATTCCAAAAAGACGAAAGGTGAAGGTTGGAGTGAAATGTACAATATTTTTAGAGTAAGGTGGTATTCAGAGATTGGAAAATGTCGTGCAGAGTTATCAATATTGAATGTAGTATCAGAATTCATTTATATAGCTGAATTTCACCTATAGTAGAGTAAAGCTTTTAACAAAAAAAAAAGTGGAAGCGAAATTTTTCCTTTAAAAATTTAGTAAAATTAAAATAAAAGATGTTTTTTATATTGTAATTTTAGAAAACATGTCATTTATTAGCAAGAATAAAGGAGGGAAAGAGAGAGAGAGAGAGAGAGAGAGAGAGAGAGAGTTGTGTTAAAAGACGATCAATGAATGATAAATCATTTAATGATGATTTACAATAAATGATGATTTACAATTTTCAGGAGATCTTCATGATCCTAAATTCTCTTCATCTCATATAGGTTATAGAGATTTTTGGATGAATACGATGAGAATGAGATTATAGCTTAATTAGTGTAAGAGAAGAAGGGTAGTAGAGTTGGTGTTGGACAATGGTAGCAATAAAAATAAGGCGGCATCCATTCAAGATTACTTTGGTGATACAGTTATCATGATTGTAAAATGCTGCGAATGATCCATTCTACTTCAATCGATCCACTCTTATAAATACCATCTTGCCCTTTTACTATCACTTACTTAGTTCAGTACTATCAATATGAGAATGTCGTCCCAGTTCGTCTTACTTCTTCTCTTAATATCCATTCTTTTCAATTCATTTTTAAATTGTTGGTGGTAAGTTTTTTTTTTCTTTCTTTCTTTCTTTCTTTCTTTTTTTTTCTCATCCTAATTAATTTAAAATACATTTAGTCAATTAAATTATTCAACTTAAACTCATTTAAAATTGCAAAAAAAAGTCTATTATTGAAAATTGTATTTTGTAAAGAAAAAGAATTGTTAAAATAAACCTTTTTTTTTTCAATTTAGTTTTTTTTATTTTGTATTTTACTTTTTTGCTTAAAATTTTTAGTAAAACAAGTGAAAATTTTGATTGATAAATCATATGAAATATTAAATTAATTAAATTCCTTCAAGATGCCAGTATCAAATTTCAATAGAAATACTAATTTAAATTTACATATGACTATCAAATGCTGTCATAAATACGAATAGATTAATTTACAGCATATAATGAATCTGTGGTATATAACGCTAGACATGAGCTATCTAAGTTTTCTATATTTATTATGAGAAATCATGCTATTTGAAAGTAGTTCATTAATTAAGTTGAACTTAAGAAAAGATAAGATAAATTATAGCAAGAGAGAAACATTCTTGTTTTCATCATTTTTATCATTTTATCAGCGTTCACTAATAAAATATTTGACTTATTTATAAGTGATATTCCTTTTCATTTATTTTTCATTTCTTTAAAATTTCTTTGATTTATTTATAACTGATACAATCTATTATCAAATATCAAATTATATTCCTTTTCACTTATTTTTCATTTCTTTAAAATTTCTTTGATTTATTTATAACTGATACAATCTATTATCAAATATCAAATTATATTCCTTTTCATTTATTTTTCATTTCTTGAAAATTTTTCCTACATTTGAGCTCATTTTTATTTTCCCATTATATGAGAAATGTTATAGCTCTTTTTTTCGTAAGTTAAAATAATGGAAGAAAATGAAAGACATTATAATTTGTTTTATTTTGGCATACCAGGTGTGCAATGCTAAAATTTTGATGGCGGTGTTGTTTTAAGAATTTTGAAAGGTCAGAAGAGTAGAAAAACATTAATTTGATTGTAAATCTCATTCGGTTGTAAATCTCAATATGGCTGATACGACGGATAGATATAAAACATGTATCATAAATTACGTATTTTGTGTTGTCTTCTGCTGTCCTATTATTATTCTTTTTTTTTTTTATCGCTTTCTTTGACAAGAAAAAAAAAATTGCTTATTTGAATTATACTGTTAGTTAAGTAATTTATTTAAATATTTTCACAAATTACTTAATATTAATAAATTTTTTTTTCTTTTAAAAATATTCAATAGATAAATTGAAAATTTTAAAAAAGATATATTAATTGATTATTGTGAGATTTTAAATGTTACTAGAATGATTGAAAATATTTATGTTTGAAAATTAAAATTATAGGCTACTTCCTGATACATCAAATAATGTATTTCGTAATGATGGTGTTCTTTGTGGTTTATTACCGGGATTGACAAGAAGACAAAATGATCTATGTTTACGACATCGTACAGCAATACGTTATATTGTAAAAGGTTTGAAAGCTGCGGTATATGAATGTAGAAATCAGTTTCATGATCAACGATGGAATTGCTCAGCAAGTCGCAACGGTTTTGCTATTTCTCATCTTAAAAGTATATTTTAAATATATTTCTAAGATTAGAGTTTATTTTTATTAGATGTGAAATAGTATTCATAGATAAAAATTTGATCTTTTCTCATCAAATTATTAAAATTTCATCCTTTATAGTAGTTAGTCTTTCAGTGTTAGAATATATCATATAAATTTGTTAATTCATAATTACTATTAAATATTTTTATTTAATGAATAAAAAATTGAAAACAATTATTACTTTTTTTTTTGAGAATTAATGAAAGTTTTGGAATTATTTTTTATAATAAGAATGAGGAATTATTATAGATTTCATCATATTTGTGCTAAAAATTAAGAATGTATTATCATTGTAATTTATCTTTCCTGGAAAAAATTTCAAAATAAATTTGTTGAAAGTGTTTAGTTGGAAGTAAAGAATCTGCTTATGTATTCGCTTTATCATCTGCTGCAGTAAGTCATGCATTAGCACGAGCATGTGCGCAAGGTACAATTGCAAGTTGTAGCTGTGGCTTACATCCGAAACGTATTACAAAACAATTTCGATGGGCTGGTTGCTCTGATAATGTTAAATTTGCAAATAATTTTGGACGTAAATTTATGGATGCAGCTGATTTAACACATACAAATGATGCTCGGTTTGTAGATATTTTTTTTTATCCGATACAAACAGATTAGTTATTTAATTATCTTTATTTACTTGTATCTCTTTTATTAATTTATTTACCTCTTAAATATTTAATATCAGTAAATGATTTATGATAACACTTTGGCTTATGAATATTATAGTGTTTAATTTTAGGTATATAATTTTGATGAATTGTTTACACTTACAACAACAGAGAAAAAAAAAGCAAATGAATGTTATTTATTGAATTAAGAATGGAAAAAATATTTTCTACATAGTTGTAAATTTAAATTTAGTTGTAATTTAACTGTTCCTACTTATTGTTCCAAATAATTGACAAAATTTTAAGCATTTCTTGTATATGTTTTTTTTTTCTAGTTTTTTAGATCATGTAACAAGTAGATGAAGTTAATTGATTTAATATCTGTTAGCATGAATTTGAAATTCTTGATTGATTTTATTGCTTTTAATATTTTTATAAATAATTCAGAAGAAGTGAATTAAGAGATGGTGTTAAATATATTTCACATTTTAGTTCGATGATGAATTTGCATAATAATCGTGTTGGACGAAAAGCAATATCAAGTAATGTGCATCGAGAATGCAAATGTCATGGTGTAAGTGGTTCATGCGTGATGCAAACATGCTGGAAAGTTGTGCCAAAACTTGAGGAAGTTGGCTTATTGCTACGAAAAAAATATTTACATGCTGCTAAGGTTATTATTGATTGTTGGTATATTTTTTTTTTTTTTNTTTGTATTCATCATAGAATATGATTAATAAAAAATTTTAAAATGAAATCAATACATTTAGGTTAGTGTATCATCTGAAGGTAAAACTTTGGTACCACGGATGGAGAAAATAGGAAGTCGTTCTGGAAGATATCTGCACAAATCCGAACAAAGATCAATCTTAGACAATGAACTTGTTTATTTGGATGATTCACTGGATTATTGCAAGGAAGATAAATTAAACGATATTCAAAGTCCACAAGGTCGAGAATGCTTCGACAAGTGTAATATGTACGTTTTTTGCAATTTTTACATTAGGAAAATATTTGTTAATAATAGCTTTTTAAAAAAAAAAAGAATTTATAATGATTCAAAACGTGGAAAAAATTTAAGTTTCAAATCTTAAGATTTTTAAATTATTTCACTACCAAAAAGTAGTGAATCTCAAAAAAAATTTTTTTTTGAATCTGAAAATTTCGAAGAAAAGAAAATTTTCAATTCAAAAAATTTTTTAATTGATTGCAGGATATGCTGTGGACGAGGTCATAAAACAGTTCGTATGATAGAGGAGCAACAGTGTAACTGTAAATTCATATGGTGTTGTGAAGTGAAATGCGACATATGTCATCACATTGCTAGCCATAATTTTTGCATATAATTGAAAATTTTTTTTTTTTTTTTTAAAAAAAAGTACAATTTTATTGTTTTAAATGCATATTTTCATTTTTGTTGTTTTGTAAAATCAATAATTAAGGAGTTATTTGATTGTTGTTGCGATGAATTTTTTTTTGATACTGCAATGAGTTTAGTTATCATTCAGTTCAGGAATTTTAATTTTCAATTTTATGATATTTTAATTATCTTAAAATTGAGAATGAAAATCGAAAAATTTGTAGATTCGTTTTTTTTTTCTTTTTAAATTCAAAGCCAACCATTGACCATTGTAAGCGCTGTATATATTTTTTAAAAAATATTTATTTGTTATTATATATGAATGTATGTATTTTGTTTAATTTTCATTTCAATGCATTTATTGCATTGCATAATGAATAATATTTCTATCAATTCATGGAATTAAAAAAAATTTTACTTCACTTTAAGATTTCTAGGAAGACAGTACTATCTAAATTGTATAAATTTACATATCATCATGGAATCATTAACAAATAGAGGAATGGGGAAAGAAAGATATTAGAGAAACTAATGAATTCATTATTTTTCATTTCAAAAATAAATTGATATTGTTGTTTTCTTGTTAAAATTAGGAAAAAAACCTTCTGTTTTTCATTCGATGCCTGCATTTCATGTATGTATCATATTTATTGTATAAAATACAGTGTTTTGAAATGTTAAAAAGAAATCATTTTACCATTCTTGTAATCAATATTCAATAATTTAATTTCAAATTTGAGAACTTTTTTATAAATTAAAGTTTATCATCAAAAATAGTGTTTTGAAGTTGCGAAGTGTTGAATGTAATTGGAGAAAATTAATTATTTGTAGATAATACTAAAAATTAACTAAATTTTCTAAATCTTCGCTTTTGTTAGCTAAATTAATTAGCTAAATCTTCGCTTTTGCTTTTTGTAAATTTTCACTTTTATTCAATCAAACATTAAACGTTTTAAATTCAAACAAAAAAAATTAATGCAAATGTGAATTGAATTTAAATCCATAATATTTATAATTTTTTTTTCAAATTTTTTAATGATTATAAAAAAATGGCAAAATATATGAATCATAAGACGAATATTAGCTAATAAATTATTAATTTTTTTCCTCTCCATACTTAACAATTTATAAATCATAGCCAAACATGACATATAAATTTGATATGCTTTTTTGTTCGTTATGGGAAAAATAATTACCAAAAAAAAGGAAGGACAAATTTATAATTTAAATTGCAAGAAAATTATCTTCCGGAATTTATGGTTCGGGTTTTTTTTTTCATTTAGAATTTCTCAGTCTAATGATAGCATAATTTAAAGCAGCGCCAAAAATAGAATTAATTAGAAAGATTATTACTTTGTGAATGTCTTTCTTGTTTTTTATACTTACTAAATATTTCATTTCAAATTACCGATTTATTCAAATTACTGATTTCAAATTATTATAATTTACATATATTCATTTTCTATTTTGAAATGTAATTTACGAATTACATTTCATAAATATTTATACAAAATGGTACCATACTGTGCATACATATGTATGTAGAGAGAGAGAGAGAGAGAGAGAGCGGGGGAGAGGAAGAGAGAAGGAGAAAGATATAAGGAATATGAATATTACCTGCTGTGAATAATCGAAAATTCAAAGAAAAGATAACTAAAAGTAGCAAATTCAATTACACCTAAATTGAATGAGTGATTATGTTTCGAATATGAGCATAATTTGAGAATTTTGGATGCATAGCTTAGATGTCCCTATTGCTTTGAGTCAAATTGAATGCATTAATTATCTCTTGCTTTAAGCAACAATTTTCTGCTTTAGCGACAGAATTTCCATTCATATGGTTGCATCCGATCAATTTTCAATTTATTATATCATCAAAATCAAAATGTTTTATTTCACTTTGCTCTTCGTTACCACAGTTTAATGCTTTTGAAAAATTGTAAGCAATTCAATCTCTCATATAATTTTTAATAATGATAAAATAAAAAATTAATAAAATTCAATAATATATTACATCGTTTTAAAGGATTTCTGATATTAGAATAAGATTATCCCAGGATGTAATATATGCATAATGAGAAAATGCAGTAAAGTATGGAAGGCGATAAGAGGATTAGAGATGGGTGGATATAATTTGAAGATTTCTGCCTTTCAATGATCGGTTCACAATGAGTTTGCAGCAAAAACAATGACTTTAAAGTAAGTTTATATTTATAACAAACAAAATTCAAATGAAGACAGTATATTCAAAATTGAAATGAATAATAAATATAAGTAATGAATAAAATTAATTATACTTCGATATGTTTAAAAAAGTTAATTCAATACTAAGATGAAATTTTGAAATTACTTATCAACGTGTAGTATACATAAACAATTTTGTCAATCAAAAATATCTCGCTGAAACAAATATTTTACATTTGTATCAAATTATTTCAGGCTTCTATTTTATATGCACTCAATCATACAACTAATTATACTTAATGCTTGTCTTTTTATTAAATTAATGAAATTGATTAAATTTTATATTCAGTTTGTTAACAGATACTGTACATTATATTCAGCTAAACAGTTCTTTCAGTTGCTGATTTATCCGCAATAACGGAAATGCTATAATAAGACATTATCACCAAACATGCCTATTTTTTTGTTATCATTGTTGCGAAAATGAACGATTAGATGTAAAATTTGTATAATTTGATATATCAAAGTAGCAATTTTATTCTTACAATATTATTCCCTTAGTTGAATTTTAATCCTTAAATTATTTTATCAATCACTATGACAAATTTTAATAGCTTATTTGAATGCTTTAAAATTATTTTGTTACCACAACAGCAAAAATTTTATCAAACTTTCATTCTAAAATGAATTCCTGATCTGATCTACACAGATAGAATTTAAACAAACTATATTTAATTTTAATTTGTTCGATAAATGATCAATTGAATATTATATATGGTGAAAAAAAGTAAGTAATTGATCTAGACTAATAAATAATCAATTTAAACTGAATTCTTTTTTCTTTTAATTACTTTTTTCCAAATAACTAAGGTTAAAACTAGCAAATGATAGATAGAGGATATTTCAAACTAACAAAACTTTTTTCATTCAAAAGAACTCCAAAATATTTTTGATCAAATTTGCCTAATTTATTGAAATTATAAATCAATTACTATAAATAAGAATGTATTGTAAGAACAAAATAAAAATAAAAACATTAGCTGTCAACATAATTATTCATATTTCACAAGATCTAAGCTATTATATTTGCCAATCTATCATAAGACTTAATTGCAATGAACATAGTTTATTCATTCAGTTGAAATTTCGGACTTTTTTTTAATCCTAAATTTGCTTGTTATACCAAAGAAGGAAAGAAATATTGAAAATTAGGTAATTGAACTTTTGACATTAGTTTTAAGGACAAAATAATAGCAGGTGTAGGATGCTTTAAAATGATACCAAAAAAAAAAAAAAAGATGAAAAGAAAAAAAGAGCCAGTTAATCATATGTATATACTTATGGCTTTTTAAAATTTAATAAAATATGAAAAGTATATCTCATCAGCTATTAATGTAAGGAAAAAAAAATGGCATGCAATAATTAAGCAAAAGTTTTAAAATGGAAAATCGAAAAATATATAGCATTATTTGGATATCGTGCTAAATAGTACAACAATAAAGATAAGAATCTTGTTATTATAACGATAAAATTCGAACCATTCAACATTTGTTTTAAAAGAATTCATTCAATTGGATTGGATAAAGTGCTATAAGCATTTTTTAAATTGGGCATGGTGGTAAATTTTTTGCCTGAAAATATTTTCATTGATATTTTTTAGATGTGAAATAAAAAAGGAATAGATTGGATATGAATGAATTGATAGATGGATAGGCAGTTATAAATGATGGAAAGAGGGTATATAATTCTCCCATAGGATATGAAAGAATTTTAAGGCATTTTGCAAGAGAAGAGGAAGGCGGTGCAATTTCTTCCCTGTTATTCGTTGGATGAATAGCAATTTAAACTGCTTACTTGGTTATTTGATGGGTTGGACAGCATTCGTTCTAATATTACCGATAGCATTTTGGTAATAAAGGATGGTATTTTTTTTTTCTAACGCTTATTTACTTGTAATCACTTTTATTTCAACTAAGCTAAATCGTTCTTTCTTAAAAGCAAACGGGAATATTTTCTTGTCCGTCAGGTAAATCATACTTCAACAATCATCAAAACGACGACTCATATTTTGAGAGAATTATTTTGCGGTAAGTTTTCTTTCTTTGAAAAAAAATTTTTTTTTTCTTATTTCTTTCTTTTTTTTTCTCTTTCTCTTTGTTTCTGTCTTCCATATGAAAATTTTTAATTTTAAATTATACGATGTATTTATTGAAATGCTACTGCTATATATTCACATTAAGTGATTATTATAAATGCATAAACGTCTTATGGTATTTTTCGCCGTTAAATATGTATAAATTACGAAAATTTAATTTAATTTTTTTAAATTTGACTTCTGCACAAATTAGTAACTAGCAATTGCAACATAAATAATTTATGGATAATATACGAATATGTAAAGATCTTCTCTATTCCTTTTTTTGATAAACAGATTGACAAATCTATAAATAAACAAGCAAATAAATCAAAGAAATAAGTAAATGAATAGGACAAATGTATAATTATGACAAATTAGTTTTAAGTGGTTATTTAAGTAATATGGTAATTTGGTCAATTGTAATGGTAGCAGTATTTGTTGTTGGAGAAAAATTTTTGTCCTTTTTCAAAGGATAGCCAAAAGATGAAAAATTAATTAAATGGAATACCAATAAGAAGAAAAGTGTTAATCGGTTAGTTGGAAAAGAGATGTGTAAAAAGAAAAAAGTAGTCTTTGATAAGGCTAATTCTTATCTTTTCCCCTCTTTCACTACCTATACATTTTTTAGTTTTAGCGAAAATATCACATTTTAGTGAAAATTTGAA